TGACAGGGACCATGCTGGCGAGTGTGAGCAAGGTTCTTCGCCAAGGACAAGCGAAGACCCAACCGTCGTATCTAAATATGATAGATTTCTAAGTGAACTGAACATTGGAACGGTCACAGGCTGCACTATTGAGTTTGAATATAGTGTTCCAGAACAGGTTAGCAAACCTACATCAAAATTCAATGTCAAAGAAGAACTAGAACCTAGATTATTGGAAAGTCGGACTCCTCCACAGCTTCGACTGTAGCCTTTCAGGTTAAGTTTCCCTAGCGTTTCGGTTGAAAAAAATTGAAGCCGGTATGTGACCTTATGTCACGGGACAAAAAAGGAGGAATTCCTCAGCTTTCCAAAAATATCCGAAATAATACCAACTTATTGTCAACGATATGGGATAGCGTCGTTGATGGTTTGGAATGGTCTGTGCCTTGGGCACGTACAACGAGCCCAATGGTGCCAATAAAGTATGAATTTTCAGCCTGAAACTACTTCGTTTTAACGAATTATTAATTCATAAGAACGAGTTACTTGAGCCTCCAGATGACGCCGTTTCGGATTCCCAAGGGATTCGAGGCGTGGCGCACATTTTAATTCAGCGTGTGCAGAGGAGGGGCAAGGCAAGCTGGTGAACGATTTAGACCTATTAAGTCACAAAATTCGTAAAATAAACAAGCTGAAATGCAACCACGTATCAATACAGTTTCGGCTGTGAACTTGAAAACCACCGCTGGCTACTGTGCTACAACAAATAACGCGCACGCAAAACATAAAGAGCGCCATCTAGGGGCCCGTGGATCAGCGCGTAGTTCGTTATTTCGAATTAGTAATTCGTTAAAACGAATTAGTGTCAGGCTGAAAATTAATACTTCATTGGCACGATTGAGCTTTCGTAACAAACTGACCAGTGGATGTGTATGTAAGACGCATGTAAAAGCATATTTAGTCATAAAGGATATATTAATGGCGGTGGGTCTTGCAATTCCCACTCGTGTTGAGGCTTAAAGTGTGCCGCCACATTCACCTACTTTGATAGGCTACAAAATGTCCATAGATTTCATTTCCTGGAACGACGAAGAGGTCGAGGTATGTCATACCCCTTTGGTGCATAGCAGTACTGTTTTCTATGGCTCAACACCAGTCCAATATCCACCAAATCGCCTGAAAGTATGTACTGTACAATTTGTTTCCGTGAAATTCCGTTGTTGGGAAAAAAATTGTTCTCAGGGGCGGATCCAGGAATTTTTCCAGTCTCATTTTTGAGGGCAAACAGTAACAAGGATGAAACATTACATGACACACATTGTTTGCAACGGTATTGGTGCACTTCGGTTATTTCTTGAAAAGTTTATTGGACGGCCATCATCCGAATGTGCATTTTGTTCCCCTGGATTTTTTTTTTCATTCGGTTTCATCCGAGTACTGGAAAAATGGCAACTCGAGACGATGCTAAAATTAATGTAGGCAGATTGTTTGGGACCATTCAGACAATTTGTCGTCACTTCTTTAATTAAACTCATCAAGCAGTGAATTTATGTTGCTTTCCTGTAGGGTGGTCATGAATAAGCTCATCGTGTTTATGAGGTTAGTGTAAACACCAGAAAATTCAGTGATTGCGCAGTTGCCTGCATTCCACCGTGTGCCCTAAATTTATATGTAGAGTCATTGCCCTCAATGAGTGCTTTCTTTTGGAGTTATTTTGGGAATAAATAGCCCCATTGTTTACAAGATTTTTTTTGTTTGAATCATTTTTATTATATCATTTGTACAAAAGCATATTTTATGAGCTTTCATGATCACTCCCTTTGATGAAATAGCACATTTTATGCTGTTAGCTTTGCTTACTAGCTTAGCCAACTTAGCTTACAACTTAGCTTTCCAGTAGTAGTCAACCTTTCGTTGGTCAGTCTTAGCGAAATTAAACCAAGTCTTTGAACACTGATGTAAGTTGGCGAGAGGAGAATCAAATCTCAAACTTTGCATGGAAAATAGATCAGTGAATCAAAATTTAAAATGTTTATTTACCGCTGCAAAAGTAGGTCTAAGGTTTTTCTGTGATGATTTCCTGGTCACAGCAATAATTTGTATTTAATTGCAAGCAAAAAAACTACAACCGTTTGCTAGGATATTACTGGACCCGCTTGTCTGGCTAAAATGCAGGAAGTTCTGGGCGGCGGCGAGGATCATTGAACACTTTGAAGGGACAGAGCTGCAACTTCCCCAACTGCAATTTAAGAACTTATGGATCGGCATGTTAAGTGAGGGGTCGGAAGCTATACGTGGGGTCACCGGTCTCGAGCAGCTTTGCTATGTAACTGTTAACAGGAATTGAACGCGGGTTCGAATGTCACGCTACATGTGACGCACGCGTA